AGTCGCCGTGAGCTTTTGTATTAACAGCTCCTTTTGGAATAGGTGCGTCAGAGTCGTACTCAAAGTTCCTTTTCAGGTGCCCTTTTGTCCTCGTTCGTTGTGGATTATTGAGAAACTCGTTGATCTTGACAAAGATGTCGTATTTTCCAGTCCAGGTTTGTGTCCTAATCTTCTTGTTGATGTAAAAACAGTCTCTGAACCAGTGCTTTCCTTCTCCACAGTAGAATTCGTACGGACAGGCTTGTGATGGTGTTGTAAGTGCTCTTCCTTAAAAGGATTGCTGTCGTGGCTCATGCTGTTCTGTGGTTGAAAAAGAAGCGTGTGTAGACTTGAGTCCCTTGAGAGAGTCTTGCTTACGAACGTGGTTGCGGAATCGCTGAATTAGGTCGCATAATTCTGGTATTTTACCGCCGTCTAATTCTTTTTGTTCAATGTCGACTTCAAGTGCTGTAGCATATGAATCGTCGATAGCGCGGATTGCTTGAATAAAGTCCTTTTGAGCTCTGTCGCCACTCACTTCTGGAAGGTCAAGAGCACTGGCTTCAGAATATACAGCTTCCCACTGAGACAGTATATCTTCAGGTTTCTGGCTTTTGTTCCACTGTTTGAGCTTGGCGTAGTCTCTAATAACTTCATTCTGTCTTGCTTTGTCGGTTGGTGCTAGCCTCTTTTTCAAAGCCCTCAAGATGTCGTAGGTAGACGTGAGGTTTTTGATAAGAACGATGTGTTTGATGTGTATAGTGCCTTCGATATGCTTGCGGACTTCGTGAATCAGGGCATCTCTTTTGTCGAGCTCCTTGATTTTGCTGTCATATCGTAAGATGTCGAAGCGTAGGTCTGCTCTTTCATCTGTTGTTAGATCAGCTCGATGAGTAGCGTTTGGGTTAATACTCTGTATCGTCGGCTCTTCCGGACGAACAGGCATGATTGGTTGGGTTGCAAGTGAAGGATCTAAAAGATTCCAAACACTGATTCCATTGCTGGTAGCAACGGATTTGACGCCAAATATCCACGGATCCCAGTCTTTAGGGTTTAAGAGGGTGATGGTTTTGGACGTCGACATGATGATGACCTCAAGACGGGAGTTCGAGAGGGTTCTTTATTTATCGTGACTACTCCTTGAGCTGAGGCAAGTCGAATACAAACAAAGGTTGCAGAGAAGTGTAAGGTGAATCAATTAATTGAAGGTAAAAAGTCAAATTTTGCAGTCAAAAAGTGGCTACCGGGCTCATAACTATTGGGTTGAAAGGGTATTGGGTACTGAAGGTCATGGAGAATTGATTGCATTGTAAAAGGTAGCTATCTAAGGTGTTTATATAAAGAGTGTAAGGTTTAGGCAAACATGAAGCATTTAGGCAGCAGAACTATAAGTGGATCAAATAAGGAAGTGGAGCAAAAGAGAAAGTAGACCCAGCACAACAAAAGATTCCTTCTATTAGTAGGCTCTAGAAATTCCATGGAATCTATAGAATTCCAGACTAGTTAAACACGTGATTATAGGAGCTATATAGCCCTAGAGGGCTAAGTAAATAGCTAGGAAGATATAATAGTACCTAATACGTTCCTTTATAATTAACTCTAGAAGTATTTGCGATACTCGTACCTACCGTAAGAGGGACATTCACGTGATATGACTTGTTATCTAACTGTTTAATACAAATAGGGCCCTAGAGACTTCCTATTAGTTAGCGGGTTATATAACAAATTCTAGCTAGAAATTCTATATATTCTATGGAATATATACCTCTAGAATAGAATCCTTCTATAAATATACTAAATAGAATGGAATTTTTCTAGAGGGGGTATCTGGAATGGGATGGAATTCCAGTTGCCGAACGCTGGTTATACACCGATAAACTGTATGGTGCACCCTGGTACAAGGCCCAAGCCAAGCAACCCCGTATAATCACCACCTGGCCCATGACTACCTAGAAATCCAAAAGAATATATAACGAGCACCTGCCGCGGGTCCAGAGATCAAAGAGGAACTCCAGGACCTTTTCTACACAAATACAATCATATAACAAACCTATTTTTATCTACCTACGCCTGACAAAATGTAATTCTTTACTATTACCATTACCCTCTTCGTCGCCGCTGTGTTGGCACAAAAGTAAGTAAACCAAAAAAAAGAGACAAAGATTTGTTCATCTAACTCGGTTTCTAGCAAAGCCACCACAGCAAAATGCTTTGTTGATAACGCCCAAGGAGTAAGTTCAACTAGACCTCTCAAGAGGCTGCCACCTACTCATTTCACCTACACGTACCTACACGTCTGCGTTTGCGAGAAAGCAAAAACCGAAAAAAAAACCCCCGACTAACCTCTTTATTCGCTAGCAAAAAACCTACTCGGCTCAATGTACTAGAGCCGCATGCGATGAATATTACGGTATAAAGGACGCAGCGAAACGTTGTGGCGACTACTTTTTTGAACCAACGCGGTGTTGGAGTAAAAGTGGTGTTATTAAGGATACCGTTGTAAGTCATTCTTATCTCCTGCTGTGGACTGATTCTTTTTGTAAGAGAGTGTAGGACTAGTTTTATTTTTTTGCATAGTGGGCTGGTTTGATTATAAAATATGGGGGTACATTATCTGAAGTATCTGCTTGAATTTTGATATTGAGATACTGGGTGAGTTTTAGGATTAGTAGCTGGACTATGATTAAGCTCTTGAACTTATACTGTGAAGAAATAGAATTGAAAGATAGATTCCTTACTTTATGGAAGCTAGAAGAATATATATATTGCACGAGGAGCTAGTGAGCGACAGAGAAGAACTTGCATCGTTCCGGGTTATGGATTAGATCTAGTATAGAGTGTAGTCCCGGCAATTATAGATAGCGCGTACTGTAAATAAAGCCTCAGGCATTTATTTGCCTAAGATGGGCCTAGAAATCTTGAATAGAAACCATGACCTATGCGCTATTTTCGCGAACACTAGTATATCTGAGTACCTTGTACCCCCACACTTCTACTTTCACCAGTATCCTCCTCTTCGCCACCACCCACAACACTAGAAGGCAATTGTACCGCTCTATCAATAGCTACAGGCAAATCCCTATGTCTCCCCCTAAACATCAAAAAACACAAAATCAGTTTGGAAGTAGTATGAAACTTCCCACTCAAAGAATACGCCTGATCCGGTAGGCCCACCGAAAGACCAACACAAGAATATGCACTAATAACCTCAAACAGGATGTTAAAAACAGAAAATGTGAAAGGGTCTTTATCATAACTTCCAGTTTCGATCCAGATTATCGCAATTGCGCAGATTACTACGAACCAGAAATCGTGACTGAGTTGGTGGGAGAGTTGTTGCCGGAGGAAGTAGAGGCGAGTTCGTGAAGCGCGGGTAAGGAGACTTCCGTTTTCTGGGGCTTGAGGTGTTTGACTTTGTTGGAGTTGAGATGCATAGATTCCGAGGGAGCGTTCTTCGTAGACGTTGGAGCTACGCATTGTGATTGCGACGGGGAAGGCGGATATAAACATCATGGGAACGTAAAGAGCTTGGAGCCCGATTCGGAGAGAGGAGATGGAGATGACTGTGAAACCTGCTGAGCGGATGAAGATCGTTTGAACCAAACCATCTAGATTACGGATGGTGGGTGGAAGAGATTGGAAGACTGGGTTGTTGTGGTTCAGTACTTCGAAACTGATGAAATCGATTCCATTGAGTACGAAGAGAACAAGAAGTAGATACCATGTTGCAGTAGATGGAAAGAGATGGGTATATACCCTTCGTGGGTACTTGAGGATAAATGCCATGGTGTCGGCCCATTCCTCGAGTCGACCGGACTTGGGGATTATGCGATGCATTAACCACAGAAGTAGTCGTAAAAAGATTGGATATCTAAATGGCATTCAGTATTAATAATCCCGACACTGAGTGGGATGAACTGACGCAGTGTTTCCTGCCAAAGTTAAAAAAGCGGTCGTAAGAAGGATATAATATGATGATTGAAAAGGTATCTTCACAGTTGTTAGGTATCTGAATGTTTGCAGACCGGGGAGGAGGGACTTACCATATTTGCATCCAATAACGACATCCCAGCATTATTAAAAGCAGAAACTCCATTGAATACGCCAAGCCACCTGCAGCGAGATGTCAGTAAATTCTTCGAAGAACCGTGTTGCTAGCACACACCAGGGCTTGACACCATTTTGGTAAGCGATATCTGCCTGACGAGCTGAAATGAACGATCCAAACGCTATAGACCCAATGACTTGAAAGCTGATTAGATATGCTGGTACTAAAATACTAAGCAGTTTCAAAGCTTTGTATTCGATACAACCAAGTTGCTCTCTCTCGTCGCGTGTGAGTCCGTAGAATTGAGAGTTCCGTCCTACCATGGCATTTCCAAAAACACGAACACTCTCAAGGAACGATGTTTTCGAGTATTTTCCCAGCAGAGTGGGAGTATTGCTATGAAGGTTGGGTGCGTTCGGTGTCACACATGTTTGAGCCGTGAAGGAGGACTTTTGTGCTCCGTTTTCGTCGTCATTGCCGCTCTTTTCCTCTATTTTGGGATCTTGCGAAGTTGTTTGTCCCACTAGAGAAAGAGTTAGGGTTCTAGTCTGAAAGATGGAGTAATGATTAGGGCCATTACAATTTGAAGAACTTTCGTTTGGAGAATTTGCCAAAGTTGTAGCGCAGGGGTCACCGATATCCGATGAGCTCTGGTTAAAGTTCTGACGATTCGTAGGTTCGTTGGGGGTGTTAGAACCAGGACTCTGTCTCTTGCCAAAAATAACATTTGCAAATTTCGATTCAAAAGCTCTTCTCCTCACCCAAACAACAAAAACACTGATGAATGTCGGGCTTCCGACCACGATCAATATCCATATCAGAATCTGTTGAGCTGTGTTCAACGTGCTCAGATTTCGGGTGGTCAGACCAGTTGAGGTAATCGCCGAAACAACAAGAAAAAGACTATCAATAAACGGAACGCTTTGATGGTGTTGTGGTAACAGCCAGAAAATAATAGAAGAGACGAAAATGATGGCTAAAAAATACAATCGGTGTACAGACAGGAAGGAAGGCGAGGACAAGCGATTTCTTATCTGTCGCACGAGAATTCCTCCGAGTGTGGAAGGTGTAGGCAGTAGTAGTACCATTCTGATGATTTGTTTTGTTTTTTGATCTTTAAACATACTTTCCTCCCTCTCCTTCTCCAACGTATATAATAGCGATCTTTGAGCGATTTTTGATCTTGTTTTTGCAGATGGCGACATTTCTCGTCAGCCAAGATTTGAATGATTGCCAGAAAGGGCCACGCACGAATATTTCGGCAATCCCAGATGCCACTTATCATATTGATATGGGATGATCTGTGGAACAAGGTGGAATTTTGGGTTCAGAAGTGCTCGAATTGGTGAGCAGTTATGAAAGGACAAGTGTTGTAAATTGGTGTTGCAACAAAAGTGACATTCTTTGAAGAACAAGACCTATCATTTTCGGTGAAACTAGTGGACCTAAAAGCAACTCAAGTTAGCAGTTCCAAATGCCACAGAAAATAGCCAGTGGTCAATTTACGCAGCGTGGCATTTTGAGGGCAGGGATTTGATGTTACGTTCTCGTGAAATTAGTCAAAGATGTAGCTGAATCTTTTATCTCTACGATAAAAGACCAGCAGGATAGACAAAATACAGCCCAATTCGTAGAAGGCAGAAAGTTTGAGATGGTGGTAGATTCATAACAACGTAGCATTCCGATAGGCGAGAAATCTGTGGACATTGTAGTAAGGGGAAGCAAATAGGCGGTGTGGGAGAATATGTCCTAACAAAGCAAATTTAACCCATGCCATAGCACAATTGAAACCAGGTATTCGGTAAATGACCCAGCAACTGTACCTGGATGGCAAGCGTTGGTTGAGATCAAAATGATGTTTCTTCGGTAGAAAGAAAAACAGAGTTATACAAGAAGATATCGATATGCAATAAAGCTATTCCAAATTCGGAATATCACAGTATAAGTCTCAGAAATGTGGTCGTTAATCTGTGTATACCTCTCTTACAATAGGTAGTATTATTCTAAGAGCCCCGTACAACTAAAGTAGTCATATAAAGAGTTCAGAATAATTGTTAATACTTACATTTTATTTACCTAGGTAAACCAAGACATTTTTGTTGCTTGTGCTAGAATTTTCGTATAATAACTTTTTATATATTGTTTATAGAATAATGAGTAGGTTTCCTATTTAATCAAGGAAATCGAAGCTTTTCTAGGCAAGATTCGAGAAACTAGGTATTTTGAAGAGTTACTAAGAAAGGAATATTACAAAGTTTAGCTTCACTTATCAACACACAGACGCTGTAGAGATAGCTATACACTACGGTAATTAGCTTAACTGAGAAACTATTACTGAATTATTTCACTTTAACCAGCTTTACTAAGTCTTCTATTTCCAGGATACTAGAGAACTACGAGCTCGCTATGTAATATTCCCTCGTTTTTCTTTTTTCTGGGTCGATTGAAAGGAACTCCTTGTTTAGTCGATTATTCTAGCACGTCTGCTACTTCAAAATAATTCCTTAAGCATGGCAAAAATTACTATGACTCAAGTTATGCGAAGGCTGTTTACTACTACGTTTTCTAAAAGCCAAGTCTCAAAGTGTAAGTCGGGCCGACAACGGACCTAAGAGTGGACAACGGCTTTGTCCGGAAAAGGCATGAATACCCGAGAGAGCAAACTGATCCCTCTTTCTCCACGGGAATTTTGATATATTTTTGAATAAGCAAAACATCGTCATTCAAACAGGGATAGGTAACATGCCAGAGTGGTTAATGGGTATGACTCGAATATGTCCTCTGCAGGACTTAAAACGACATCATATGGCTTCGGCCGCGCAGGTTCAAATCCTGCTGTTATCGACGCTTGAACTTTACTTTTTTGTTGTTCACAGGTTCAAATCTTGTGGTTATCGGCCCTTATTTTTTTTTTGAATCTTCCCTCCCAACATGGGCAGTTTGGGATCTGAAGTATCATGTGCGGGATTTTTACAGAAGGTGGGTATATGGAAAAGCGCTGATGTAACGTTATACATAGGTAGGCAGATAGCTTGGAAAGCTGAGAGCAGATACATATCTCATCTTTAATAAAACCGATTCCTTGTGAAGTCTCGAGTTTTCGCTGTTTTGTTTCTGAAGGCATTCGGCGATAAGCGAGACCCCGCTAATACAGGTCCGTGCATCCCATTGAGGGAAAGAATGATGCACGCGTCAGAGACCAACCAGATTTTCGACGATTATTTACAACATTCTCGCAGACCTCGTGAAATTGTGCGATCATTTTTCACCATGGTCTCCTGATAACTATCGTATTTCCGGGTTGGAATTGTCCAGGAACTTACCACCATCGCCACAATGTCAGATACATCACTCCCACCACAAGCTCCACCCGCAAACGATTCCGCTCGCGCGCAAGCTCAATTGATAACTGCGGCATCAGTTGCCTGCGTAGTCCTCTGTCCGTTAATCCTCGCGCTTCCTCCCCGCAAGCTTGATGTGTACAGCATTGCCCTCGTATCCAGCACTTTCGTTGGTGGCAACCAACTTGCTCACGAATATACTGGTCGCAGTATTCTCACCCGAATACAGGAAGTGGGCACCCCGCAATCTCGAAGGAAAGAGCTGCCTATTTCGACACAAAACAATGCCGTAGATCGAGGCGTGGCATCGCGACTTTCGGAGAATATGGAAGGCGGGGTTGGACGGGATTCAAATGGAAGGAATGCTCAGCCGTTTGCGGAATCGAAAAAAGACCTGACTACACGCATACTAGCTGAAGTCGAAGCGCAGAAGACGAAAGCGGAGGAAGCGGAGGGTGTTCTGAGTCAGACCAGACAGAAGTCACAATGGAAGCAGGAAAGAGACAAGAGAGAAAGGGAAGCATTGGAAGAGGGAAAAGGCTATGGTGATATGATCTCGGATCAAATATGGGAGGTTTGGAATTGGGGCAAAGACAAGACCAGAGGCAATACCGGGGAGGAAAAGTCGACGAGGCCGAACAAGGATTCGGGAAGCAAGCCTTGAACTTCAACAAAGAGGAACAAGTCGGCGGACCCCGAGATGATAATGCCATTGTACGATATGATATGATACCCAAGAAGCACCGGACGATGATCCTTTTGGGGCAATACCGGAACACAGATGGAGATTCATGGAACCTCCACTCGTTATTGGCCCAGTCAACAAATTCGACTGGGGATACCAAGTTTCCTTAAGGACTGTATTTTAGAAGATACGACTTATTGATCATTCATTTGTGGTCAATGCTTCGATTTTTATTGTTCTGGAGCTTGGAAAGCTGCTAGTGTGATGTCTACTCGTCAAAGTGGCTATTGTGGGATGTGAACTATCAAATCTGCCTGCGGAAATCACTGTCGGTCACTGTGAAAAATGCTCTAATGTTTTTACCGTATATTCATTCTGATGTTATACTTACAAACATTTGCCAACCTAAGAGAGATTAGCATCAGCAAAATGACTATGGCTCACTCCGATCGCACAACACAAACCGACAGAGAGGCGAAGAGTTTGCTTATGAAAGTGAGTAATCGAAGATGCTCCGCAAACTTTTCAGAACGACGTGCTTCAATAACGCTGTTGGCGAAGTTTAAGTGCTAAACAAATCAGCAATGACTCACCGCAAAAACAATGTTGTTCCAATTCTCTCACTCCGTCCCGTGTTGCTTTGAACTCATCTCATTTCTGCTGAACTTGGGCTTGAACAACCCTCGGCCGTTGAATCACCTTGTCGATACTCCCAATATGATTACTCGCATAACACACGATCCTGTTCCGTATCTCCTCTCCATGAGCGCTCACAATCAAATTGAATGGGACGCATTTCGAGGTTCTCATGGCGGCATCTTCATAATGTTCAGTCCAGAGATCTCGATTGTTGTTATACTCTATAATTCCACTTCGGAATAGAAATAACTCGGAAAGAAGATGCACAATATTTTGATCCAATGACCCCACCAACCCTAAATATACCACCGTCCATGTAAATACTCGGTTTCCGGAACGAGGTGTCATCATACAAGAGATCAACATATTTGTTGCCGTCCAGGAATCCAAAATCCGTGCCATTACTATCGCATTGCTCCAGAACATGCTTATATAGTGAGTCGCAGTGCGATTCAATGAGGCCGTATATTTTCACCACAACTTGTGTCTTGGCGTCGACGAAATCATTGAACGAACTTGTGATTGAGCTGGAATGGTTCAATCTCCGGATGAGGGCATTTGGGCCTGGGTTTCTGAGATGTTTCGTATAGGCTCCATGGAACTCCGGGGCGTGAGGATAAGCATTGTAAAATTGTATGCTGGCAGGTCTGCTTCTGCGGAAGAACTTTCTGATACCAAGACCTAAGAGAATTAGCCATCGAGACCATCAGATTCTCACACTCTTTGACAGTACCGTCACGGAATGCGTGCCTAGATCTATCCGTGGATATTTCGGGTGGCCATACCGGCGCATGCTTTGAAGGCGATTCATGATTTGGACTCAAACTTGTCCTCATGACAGACGTGGAATGGATGAGGGGATGCGAGTTCATGGATTATGGACTGCTCTGTGAGAATTTGATTGAATCGATTTCTTTTGGTATAAAGCATTTGAAGGAGAAACACCTCCCCAGCTTGTTTCTCATTATATATAAAGGTGATATCTTCCAATGGGGGGAGTGAGGCGGCTGGATGCACCTCATAAAATCTTCCAAATACGGGGAAGCAGGTTTCATCGGGTCTTGTTTATTTCTTGGGGGCAGAGACGTGTACGAGTCCTTCGCAAGTACTAGGCCTTGGTTAGTTAGCCAGAGTCCTCGTCTGTTCAGATTCTCTTACATTATTCTGGCCCATGGGTTTTCATCTCTCGTCTTCCTCAAATTTTCAGGTAGGAGGTATTGGATCAAATATTCATGCACTCCTGCCGAATCAACATCTAGGCTGGAGGTGGGTGGGAACGGGTGGATCACGTGACCTGAAGAAACAAAGTCGCAACCTGGAATTGCAAAGCTGGGGCGGACGTCGACTTGTCGTCAATCTCGCAGAGACCTGTTACAGGCTCACTGTACCTAATCAACCCATTGTTTAACGAATATGCATTCTTTGCCACGGAAGATAACAATGCCAGATATCCCGCCGTGCAGATCCTTGGGACTACAAAGGCGTTAGGAGTCGAAGACAGTCAGCGTTCACGGTCCAGTGCTTTGGTGCTTCTATCTGATTCAAAATAGATACTGGGGTCCCGCACAATTCTGAAGAAACAATGGAACTCTGGGATCCCCGCCTCCAGAAGATAAGGCCATCTGGGACCTCCTGCAGGAACCTGCGGGTGAGATCGAAGATTTCATTGTACAGGACCTCGAGAGGACTTCAAGCATGACCGCCGCGATCCAGAGCCTGACCCACTCGTGGAGGAAATTGAAAGCATCGCCGAAACTTGCGACACGATGAAGTACCAGCCATTCCTGCCAATCACCAAAGAAGAAACAACGCGATACCGACAGGCCATGGAGTTTCTAGATGGTCATTCTGACGCAGGAATCACCTTCCGTACAGCGTTTCGAATGCTAGATATCACAAACCTTTCACGTCCGTACCTCAAGGGATGCAATTCCACGAAAGCCTTATTTCCACATCAAGTCATTGGAGTGGCATGGGCGGGATTCCAGCTACGTAATGGGCGCGAGGCCATGCCGGCCGATTAGATGGGTTGGGAAAGACCACCAAGCTCATGGAGTCATCGCAGCAGTCAATTCTGAAACCATCGCCGATGTAACAACAGCTAATCGCAGCGGATTTGGGGATAAACCGATCCTGATCATTGTGCCTCTTACTTCTATATCAGACTGGGCGGAAGACTTCCGAAAGACACTTGGAAGCCAATTCAAACTTCACGAATACCTTCAAGGAAAACCAATGTTCCGGAGAAAACAGTTATTGGGTATGACCGCACGGGACATCATCATTACAACTATCGGGTTTTTCAACCTGAAGCATGGCCCATCCGCGATTGAAAAATCCCATGGTAACAAGTCTGGCCGGCCGACCATGTATGAGGGCGGGTATGGAGAGAATGAGCTTACGGATTGTTTTTCGCTTTTGATCTTGGATGAGGCACATGAGTTCAAAAGCGTCAAGTCCACGTATTTCAAGGCGGTCAGAAATTCAAGGGCCCAACACCGAATGCTCTTGACCGGGACGCCAATCCATAACGACCTTCGAGACCTTGAAGGGGTGATGGGTGTGTTGCAATCCCATGACGTCTGGGATCGATTCCTCCAACACGACAGAAAAAAAGACCACTTCGATATAGCCGACGAGTCTGTAAGAAACACTCTTATCTACACAAGTGAAGGAGCTGCTTGGATCAAAACCAAGCAGTACCCTGGGGATGACGACAAAGGTAAACTTATCCGCCAAACATACAAAGCGTGCTTACTTCGTCGCACATATGCGACGACAATTGAAGGGAAAAGAGTGGCAGACGAATTACCGCCCCATAAGAAGGTTACTGTACACCTTCGGTATACTGGTCAGAGCAAAGACATGGCCGCAGTCATACGCAACAAGTACATGTCCGGAGAGAAGCAGTCGTTCGGCGAAGCGAAAAACTTTCGATATCTTTGCCATGCAGCCACGTTTCTGGGGTTAGCTGGTATCCAAAAACTGCTTGGAACTTGCCAGCGACTACAGAAAGCGGATTTTGGATAACTCATGAAGACTCTAGAAGAGGATGCCAGTACCCATGGTCAAGGATTTAAGGTGGCTGATTGTCTGGAAGATAAGACACTCTTAAGAACACAGCAAATAATGGGCCGAAACTCCGGTACTTGTGCTACGCAATCGCGATTACAGTGGTAGCGTGGAAGGAGAAGTTTGTTGATTGGAATGACTGGCCTTGGGTACAGCTCTTGGTGGAAAGGTTTTTGGGGGCGACGGGTGTACGATTGAAAGCCATCCATGCCAATATGAGTAGGAACGAGAGGGATCGAGTAATCGCAACATTTGAAAAGAAGGACCCACAAACCCCAATGATCTTATGTGTTCGTATAAAACTTGCACCACGGCCATAAACTGCGACAGTCTTGTCATACCAGTATAATGCTCGAACCAGCGATCTCTCGGACGATGGGGTAACAAGCAGTCGTGCGGTACGGTTAGGACAGGAATATCCTCAACTGATGCTCTGTGTTTACCAGATAGGATCGATCAACCATTGGCAGACGATCAACCAGCTGAAAAAGTCTATCGCAGAGACCATGGCGTCGACCAGTCAAGCCTCGCGCTTCATCCTTGTTGAGGACCACAAGCTCGAGAATACAGATGCTGCATATGAAGATTTTGTGCACTACTTGATCGGAGGTAAAAATGGGACCGAAATTATGTAAGATAGTTGGGCGATAGTTGGGCGAAGCTCTGGACACACCTATGTTAGAATAATATATTGTTATAAAAGTCTCATACAACTAAATCTATTATACGAGCCATTTGGGATAATTTGAATTAATATATCTTTGTTGAACTAGATTGTTCAAAACAAAGAAGTTAATTCTTTTTTTAGGAATTCTAGTGTTATAGGTTTTCAGAATATCTTAAGATACCTAGGCTAATAAAAAGTAACTAGTAATAATTGTTCTAAGCTCTTTATATTATCTTTTTAGTTTTACGAGGCTTTTAGAATAATTTCATTCTAGGAGAGGTGTGTAAGATCTTACAGAGTAACAACCACGCCTCTTGCAGAGTTTCGCCCCGCAAAACATTCTCCCCCCCGCGCCCCGCCCCCCTACATGCCGATAACTACCGCAAAATCCACCTGGAAATCTTGTACATGTAAGTATCTATCGAATTTTTATCCTGATACAAGTCTAATGGTCATCGTTGCAGATTTACAGACACAACGCGCAGACTGCTCCTCTCACCACTCTGGTCAGTCAGTTACATCACAGGACAGACGGCACCAAAAAAAAAAATGGGACAGGTGAACTCTGCCAGCATATCTGAAAAACAAGAGACTGACCTGAAAAACAAGAGACTGACCTGCCTCAAAGAACCCCTCTATCCGTCTCGCAGGAAGAAGGTAGAAAGTTTCGAGTCAATGTTGACGATTGGTATTTGCCAAGCGACGCATATCGCGAGGAAATATTCCACCTGCGACCCGGTCCCATATGAGCATTCCAGGCAAATGTGCCACCAAGAACTGACCCGACGGTACTTGTACACTGTCAACTCTCAAACTTCTCGCCCTATACAGTCACACCTTTCACCTTGTTTTTATGTAGGAGAATATTTTCCGTCAAGTGCTCTTTAATTCTCATCATTTTTTATCCAGCAATGAGCACATATGATTTCTCAATACCGCCATGGAGACTCCATTCCATATTGGAAAATGCAAGCCAGAGTGGTAAAATACCCTTCTTGCTTTGGTTCCTTCCTATCACACAAAGGGAAGTGGGGCCCTTGTGCAAAAATTTCCACCACCCCTTGTCCTCAATCAGGATTGGAAGTTGAAATTGAGAAATGGATGAAGTTGTTATAAGATATTTGACTTAATAGAGGCTTTTTTCACTCTTCAAACATTGGATGATATATCCCGTGTTTAGTTAAGTTGGCATGTTATAAAGCTGCAAACAGCTTATTGCCTAATTCAGTTGCCGAGTTCTTTGTTTGGAATCAATGCATTTCAAATATTAGAATCCAATCAAAGTAAGCGAGGAGGGGGTTTCTTTGACCCCTTTGACTGCTTCCAATTTCCTTTGTTGTTTATTCATCATTCTCCGTCGGTTATATACCTATGTGTATTTTTTTTTCTCACCAACCTCAACGTTTACAGTTGGAGTCGACCATTATTCTTCTTCTTCAAACACTTCTCCTAGCCACTTTCGAGTTTCCAATTTGTGATAGTCGGACGGGAAGTCACTCCTCAAGATTACAAAATTGCCAAATCGTTGGCGGAGGCCAGTTGCTACAGTGGCCACGCAAACGCCCAAAAACTCGCAATATTGCACACCCACACAATTTTCCGATGAGGTTAAGGATCAATTGATGGTCCTACTCGGCGAGGGTTGTCTGCCTACCGACACCCCGTCTCCAGAAGATGAATACAAGGATCTACGAGCTCTACACCAGACTTATGTAGAACATTGTGCAAAAAACCAAATCCTCGGCTACACCCGATTCGCAGACGGAAAAAAAGAATCTCGAGATCTGGCGCGAAGCCCGCCGACGTTTGAAGAATTTCAAGCTCTGCTTTACCATTTTATGCGAAGGCAGGAAACTCCTTGGGGCCTGCCTCCTCTTCTTGCGGTATGGAAAACTCAGATCTGGGACATTGATTCCAATACAAGATCCAGCAGACTCCGCCGCTATTGTGGATGGATAGGTGCGGATGCCAGCAGAAGCGATGCAGCAATGCTACAGGATATTGTGGAATGGCGGGAAAATAATCTCTCTCAGTTGGACATTCGAGTGTTTAATCAACCGGTCGCGATACCATTAAGGGCCGTTGATGATCCAGACCGAAATCAAGATCCCAATTCAGTCAGTACGCCTCCAACAGAATGGTTATAACCAAGAATCGTGGAAGGTCAAATAATATTAGAGCCTACAGATAGACGTAGGCTCATCTTTGAACAAGATGAAGAAGTGGTAATGTACGGGCCTCCAATGGTCAAACGAGCGATAGGTCAGGATTCAGAAGTCTACAGAATAGTCATCGATCTTGAGGGAAACGCAGCGGCTGTTCCGTTGAGTGTCATCGACCGCCTTTCGGATCTCAATAATGCAAATGATGACAAAGGCATAAAACCATTCGACATGATACTAGGACGACCACCACAGAGAGTTCAAAGATACGAGGAATCAGAATCATCCGAAGACGACGACAATGACGGCGATTCTTTACCTCCTTCTTCAAATTCCGAGGAGATATCAGATGGCGAAAGAACACCAGAACCCTGTGCGCCACCACACGCAAGAAATCCACATGCTACATGGTCAGGGCTTCAAGGGTCTGACGAGGAAGAAGAAGAAGAGGAAGACGACGATGATGACGACGAGGGTGACCCAGATAGGTCCCAGTCGGAAGGAGGTTCAAGTCGCCAACAAACTCGTGATTCGTTCGACGAAGCCGACGGCGTCACTCCTGAACAGTACGGTGATGATGATGGCCAAGGTTCGCAAATTTCGTATGAAGTCAGTGAGGCATGATAGAATGACCACCCATCCGAACCCAAGAGTAAGGGAGTTACGGTAGGCACACAGTGCTAGATGGGTGAAACAGGAGTAAAATGTTGAAGTGGCTTGGTGGGAAATGCATACTTTGGATTATCTTAGCAACATTTTTACGATACTTGATGTATATATATCCAAAGTTTCTTAGTTTGAAACTTGGAAGAATTGTGATTCCGTCGTTTTGTGTTGGTCGCTCCTTTCTCTACTCATTCTGCACCTATACTGAAGTGATGTCAAGAAGATATATTGCCATTGTGAGGTCTTCAGTAGACTGCAGCGCCAATAATCTGGAGCCCTGAGAGTGAACTAGCAAGGAATCGTTTGGCGCATAGAAATCTGCTCAGCTCTCTTGCGAAAATATGTTCTGATTGTAGCTGAGCCAAAATCCTTGAGAGTGGAGAAAGTGTATGATTAGTGGCCCTGTATTCAAAAAGATGCGCTCTTTCCACTTGCGTCATATGCTTAACTATTGATTCCCAACAGTCATTATGTAAATTGGACCCAAACAGCAGTTCAACCTTTAGGGGTTGGAATATTTGTAATAAAAGCACTATGAAGATCATACGTTCCTTAGACAGTATAAGCTGTGCCACAAACAAAAGTGCTTATTAATCTAGGGGCATTTTTTATCACAAAAAAAAGCCACTATGAAGCGAATATATTAGAAAGAGCTGTGATGAGAATGAGAATTGGTAAATAACAGCCCTCTCTGTACTTTATTTTACTTTAGTTTGGTCTGTAATGACCCTACTATCATACATTCGTGGAAACGACGATAAGATGAGAGATTATCTTCTTCTATACTAAATTGGGACAATGACAACAAACATCGGAATATCCGTATACCTCCTTTCACTTCTGGACGTGTCTTTTGTATGCCGTGAAAGGCAGAACACTTCTTCCCAGAACACTTCTTCCTTTCTTATAGAGAGTTAACAGAAAAGAAATTTGATGCTTTCACAAGCACTCCGTTGAAACGTGTACAATAAAACCCAATTTATCTTTTCGCCTAATCTGATAGCAATAATATACGAGGAAGAAGGGGTTGATTGCTATGCTACGGCTAGTCAAGTTAGGCCAAAATGATGTATCAACAGATTCCCTATGGCACATAGCTTATGGATGGTTGAAAGGCATAAAATAATAGTGCTAAAACAAGGGAACACTGGTGTACTGCCTTTTGGAATGAGTAAGAGAGGCGAGCATTGATCTATACACTCTCTTAAAGTTATTATGCCAAAAGTCTGGCACAAGTAAATAAATTGACCTATCTACCTAGGTTAATTAGGAGTAAAAAGTATCAATTATTCTAAACTACTTAAATAATCTATCTAGTTGCACATGGTCTTTAGTATAATTCTTTTATAACTCAGGTGTGTACAGAGTAATGCCCGCCTATCTTACCTTTCCTACTTTTTCCATGTGGCATGGTTCTTTGTTGAGTGCTAGCTGAAGTTATTGGTGGGCGATAAGAGGGGAGAGGCAAGGCTCCCTTCAGGCTTTGAGGTCCCTGTAGCTTCAGGCTGTTGTGCACTAATTGCGATATGCAACAAAAGAATAGCAATTTCCCAACCAGAGCACGTTAATTGGCTAAGTGACATGACCTGTCACGCCTGTCAGCAAACAGCAGTTAGCGGGCCAATGAACAAAGGTTCGCTCAGGTTAAAGTTTCACTGTGGTAGAGGCATGGTGTAGGTATATCACAGCAATCTTTGAGTGAATTTAAGGTTTATGTGCTTTCCTGTCGTAGAATACTGTGAATTATCTCATGCTATGTGGGTGCCAATTTGGAAATATGTCTTCTCTTTGGGTGCTTTCTATTAATAAGACTTTCTTTTCCGCCATGGATCTCTTTCTAGTAAGGGCTCTACTTGTAGACTTCTAAACCCCTATGTGGTGCGCATTTCCTTGTTTTACTGTACAACCCTTTTGCCTTTTCACTTACACCAACCAACCCTTCCAACCACTATGTTCTAACATCCTTTTTTGTATGATCTGCTTCGTCTCGTGAGACGTATCTTTAACCATTTCACTTCAATTGATACCATCCTTCTCCTTTCATTAAATGTTTAACTCCCACTACTCATGAAGACCACCTTTCTGATTACTTTGATTAGCAGTAGCAACACAGAGATCCAGACCTCTCTCTTTGTTCTGGAAGCTGCCCCCATTCCAAAATGAGCGACATCAAAAAGTATAATATGCCACTCCCAACCTCTCAATCTTCCTCCCCCACAATCACAATTTCAGCTCTCTTCTGAAATCCGAAACCGAACGCAAATCAATCAACCAAAAATTCATTGAACTCCAAGTCAACTCAGACCTCAAGCAGATCCATTTCTTCGAAAACTTCACCCCACAGTCGGTCGCCCAGCAGCCAAGAAACCTAAGCGAGAAATAAAAAGGGGAGATGTCTCGACCACCCAGAAAAGCGGTATCCTCTTCCTCGGGCAAAGATCAGCGCAGCACCTCTCAGAATCCTCCCGGTGCCGAAGCCAACACTACAAACACATCAAGTACAGCTCAAGCGAGCTCTTTCGGAGAACAAGGCAACGCCAACACCAACGCTTCAACATCAATCCAAAACCAAGCGAATACACCAACGACCATCGAACACAAAAGAGCATTTTTGCAATTCTTGGCTTCAACATCAATCGAAAACCAAGCGAATCATTGGCGAGCGAATACACCAACGACCATCGAAGAAAAAAGAGCATTTTTGCAATTCTTGGCACAAGAAACCGCCCAAAGACGGGGAATTGTAGGCCAATACTATTGGATATTGGATTATCGCGCCAAAGAGTGGGAGTTCAACCATACAGCCCCTGCTCCATCTGAGTTGCGACGTCTACATGGCATGGGACGCTTGACAGGGAGTGGGTTCATTGATCCTCCGCGAACATCACCTCAAAGACCTGCCAATTCCCTTAGGCTTGAAGCATGGTTGAGGGAAACCACAATTAAGCCTTCCAATATTTCACCGGAAATCAATGCTCCGGGTTCACCGAGCACAAATCCAGTTTCTGTACCTCCCACTGCGGCAGTCAACACCTCACCGGCTTCGATGGCTCAAAGTAGAAAGCCGCAAGGAGACGCAGGTATTTTCAGTGGCCGAGCTGTGCGCGAGGAACTTTTTGAAACACCAGAAGGAACCAAATCAACAAAAAGGCGAGGAAAAACTGAATCTGCCCCGCGAGAGTCGACAAGCAAAAGCATTGCTCCTCTCGAATCATCCTCAGATCAAGACAGGGCTATTCTAGAATACTCGTGTCGTGTAATGTCCAAAATTTCTGGAGCATCAGAGCCCTTCAATGCCAGAATAGATAGTCGTGGAACCCTGTTCGTGTGGAATTCCCTGATTCCAGATCCATGGATATCTGATGGTACGGGAGTAGGTTATGGGCTCCGGATTGCACCGAACGTCACTTCCGATACAGTCGCTAGTGACACTGGAGATGGGTCTACAGGTTCCCGAGGGGAAGACGATGAAACCCCGACATCAGTAAAAAGAGAGCAGAGCCGAGAGTCGATGAGAAGTCAACACGAACTTTTAAATCCCGAAACCTCTACAGCGACTCCAGAGGAAGAAGAGCAGAATCAGGGGAGCAGGTCGATGAGAACTACTGATACAAATTCTCGAGCTGCACCTACCTAATCTGATAGAAACATCCCAGACCTCTTTAGATCTAACGATGAAGCGACCGACGCTTCTACGGTGCCTCGTCTTGAAACAGTAACTCAAAACATTAGAGACACCCTAGATCCAAGCTTCCCAAGCGCTCTAGATAATGACAATCACAACAATAACGACAAGAATACGCAAGATGAAGGAAATAACTCAGGGCCAACACAGAATCCAACCGTCATGAGTGTCCGCATCCCAAACAATTTCCCCGCAGATTTTCAATCATTGTTTTCCTCATCGGGCACCACATCCTCGCTTATTTCTTCTCTAAATCTGCGCGGTGGTTCAGGTTCACCAGAAGACTCGGAAATTACTAGTCCTCCAGAAAGGACTGAGATTCAAATATACGAGATGATACCTCGCAAACTTTCACACCACAAGGCGAAGGTCAACAAACCAGAAACACAGGCACATCCGATGCATCAACTATTATAGATCCCGAGCACATGGAAAGCTCCGAAGCAGAGCGCAGTGAAGAAAGAGAAGACGAGGAAAACCGTGAGAACTTATCTCCCGCCATTCATCCAGCGCAACAATGTCCTCTACGGCACGTGCAAGGCTCCCGAGGACCCTTCCAACGTCGTCCCAGCTCAGAAGATCTCCCAAGCCCAGTACCTCATTCATGCCGTGGCAGTGCACCAAACTTATCAGATTCCTCAAGGGGAGACACTTGACATGTTGTGAACCGCAGACCACTGGCCCATCTTTGGCCAATGGTTCGTGGAACATCCGCGTTTGCTACAGAAGGGTCTCAATATCCACCAGATATGGGAGAACCTTCACGATCAAATCAAGAAGCAAGGATGCCATCATCCCGTTCTCCAAGTCCTAGTTTGGAAATCAGAGAAGGTCAGCGAAGACGAACAAGTTCTACCTCTACTGTGATGGGTCCGCCTCCGTCACCAATTTTAAGCGAGGGAAGAAGATTATCTTCATCCCTCACACGAAGCCCCCGTAGAGAGACTTCTGTGGACTGAAGAACCATTCCAAGTCGTCCTTCGGGTGAGATGGGCCCTCCTCCTCGCCCTGATCAAAGAGAGGACTCATCTGCAACCCTTTCTGGGAGTTCAAGTGGTATTGAGCGAAATAGACCCCGACGAGAATTCCGACGAACTCAATCTGGATATTTGAGATCTCAACCTGGAGGTCTCTTATTGACCCCAGGACAAGTTACAATAGACAATGCAAGTGGAAAATCCCAGGACAAGGTACAATGGAAGTGGAAAACGAGAGAGTGTCTGACCAACCCGCGCGATCTGGAAACGAAGAACCAGAACCAAATCAGCACAGCGCCAGCCCACCCACCCATCACACTTCCCAGGGAGAAGAGAACCAAAGAGATCCCTGGGCCCCTCTCTGGTATACCTTTCTACTCAACACGCTTCGTGAAGAGGCCTCGCAATCAGCCGCTCCACCATCAAACCGTACTGTTACAACATCCATAGCCGAAATCCTGCTCAGAGATTTCCAAAATGGCGCCTCAGAAGAAGGTGATACCCATGGAGCCAACACGGCTCATCGAGCAGCCACTATGAGAATGCCATCAGCTGTTGATGTTACGATTTCCATAGCCACAATCCTGCTCCGAGATCTCCAGAATAGTGCGTCAGCGGAGGGATTTTGTGAGGCGTACCTAAGAGGCACTCCGTATGCTGTGATGACTTTGTTAACCGAGTTTACACGGTTTATGGCGGAGAGGCACCCAGGACCGAATCCTGCATCCAGCCAAGAAGGTGGGAGAATGTAAAGCGGAGGAGATTATGGTCAAGATCGGGAGGAAGGAAGAGATAAAGAGAATAATAACGAGGAACGATATCAACAAGAAAAGGCCAAGCCAAATAAAAACCCACCTTCCAAAACAGAATTCAAGAATCCTCCCAAGGACAACCATGATCATAACCCAGACAAAGAAAACGACGACGATAGAGCAGGAAATAACCCCGGAGGCGGACCAACGTAATACCTCGTTCTGGGAATAAGAGGCGGGTTCGGGACTCCCAGAAATTCACACGATATCTCAGATTATTACCCACAGTTAGATGAGGAAGTAGGAGATGAGAAAGAGGATGAAGCGGAATCGGAAGGAGAGGAAGAAACCACATTCGAGGATGGAGAGTCCAAGAAGAGAGATGCAAATACGCCCTCAGAGAACGAACAAGGAAAGAAAGAACTCGGGAGACTTCTGACAACAGTGAAGCACAGAGGTTCATCACGAACCCCGGATCCAGAGCTGGTTTTCTATCAAGACCTCTACATAGAAGATAGCGATGAGGATTCCATCTACAACGACTTGTATTTCTATTACGAGTCTGATCCCGAATCTCACTCGCCCTCCGACTCCGAACAAGTCTCACAAGAAGTAAAGCTTCATAAAAAAGAGATAGTGCAACGAAACGAAGAATCCATAGTTCACAATTCGGAGATGTCTCGCTTAAACCGGATACTCCATCATCTTCTATCGAAACTCAGAGATGGTGATGATTACGGTATCAATTACACACATAAAGATACCATCAAGACCAAAAACCCCCCACACATCCGAGGCGGCTCTTCAATCCCTCCTCCTTCTGAAGACCACCCATCCGATCCCGAGGCAAACCCAGATAATGCCACAGAAACGGAACCAGAACCAGAAACCTCCTCCTGGGAAATCTACCACTCATCGTTCGAGGAACCTCAAGTAGCGCCTACCTCCTCAGACCACCAATTCGAACACCACCCATCCGATCCCCAGGCAAATCCAGATGATGCCACACAACCAGAACCAAATCCAGAAACACAAACCTCCCCCCCATCCCCCTCAGAACCCCATCAATCCAACCCACCCCCCAATCCATCTCACACACCATCCCAACCAAACACCCAAAGAATCCAAACCCTCACAACCCTCCTCATCAACATGTTGTTAATACACAACCTACAAGTGCAATGGGAAGAACATACCACGCAGATTGACGGGTTGGAGAGACGGGTGCGGACATTGGAGGATCCGTATTGGGACTGGGATGAGAATGAGGATGGGGAAGAGGAAGATGGGGGTGGAGATATTGAGGAGGAGGAAGAGGAAGAAGGGGAAGAAGGGGGGGCAATCTTAGAGAGTGAGGGAGATAGAGATGGAGATGAAGCAGGAGATGAGAAGACACAGGTTGTCATGAGAGGTGCTTACGGGTCACCACCACGATCCGGTCATATGTCCTCCTCGCAAGAAGAAAAACAAACCACTCACGACGAAGACAAAGAATCAAAACCCAACATCACGAACCCCCCCAAAAGGGATCCAGCTTCTTTATCCACGGCTCAAACCGACTCCAACCAAGAGGAAGAACAAACCCCAGACTCACAATCCACTCCCAAAGTATCAAATACCCAGACCACAGATCAAACCCTCCTCCCCTTTTCCCCGCTCGTAGTAGATGGATACGAAGCCCTCCAGCACTACGAGCCCTCCCCTCCGCGTGTACCGTCGGAATGGCAACTATCCAGTCCACCAGATACCTCTCAGCCGTCAGACACCACCCCCGAATCCCATCCCCGACCAAAAAACACAACCCTCAAAAACGACGACTCGATCATCAAACTCCAGAATCTCCTCCACCAAATTGCAACCAGAAACGGAGTCAGTATCTTAGATATCCACTTCACGCTCTTACGTCGGGAGTTCGAAGAACGTGGGAAGACGGTGGATAGGTTGGAAGAGGAATTGAGGGGGGTGAGAATGGAGTTGGAGGGAGTGAGAGGGGAGGACGGGTAGAGAGAGGTAGTGCAGGTTAATACGGAAGTTAATAGGGAGAATTTGGAATTGAGGGGTAGGGTTAGGGAGTCAGAGGGAGAGGTTACGAGATTAAATAGGTATGTGGAGATACTGAGGGAGGAGCGTGATAGTATTTAGAAGGTGGTTGTGAGGGTAAAAAAGAGAGGATTATAAAGGAAGAGAGGCGGGTATTTCACTGTACACGCTATGAAAAGTTATTTTTTGGTTCGCGTGATGGGTTTTAGAAGGTGGTTGTAAGGGTAAAAGAAATAAGGAGAATTTGGGATTAAAGGGGGTAGTGTTAGGAAATCAGAGAAGAGATTACGAGATTAATTAAAGATATAGAAATTCTTTGTTAAAGAGTTAGAGAAGAGATTACGAGATTGATTAAGGATGTAGAGATGCTAAGGGAGGAGCGTGATGGGTTTTGAAAAAGGAGGTTGTGAGGGTAAAAGAAGAGAGGATTGGGAAGGGAGAGAGGCGGGGTATTACTCTGTACACCCTATCAAAACCCCCGTTCTTCCAAAAGTCTGGCATAAATAAACCAACCATCCCATTCCACCCAGCACAATAAGAATCATCCCATTTCACCTAACATAATAAGAATTGAAAAGTAACAATCAATTATCCCAAACGATCCGTATAGTCAATACAGTTATCTGCGGTCCTAACTCTTTAGGATAATATTCTTATACACCTAACATAATAAGAACTCAAAAATATCAATCAATTATCCCAAACAATCCGTATAATTAATATAGTCCTCTAAGATCCCAACTCTTTACGATAACATTCTCATAACTCAGGTCTATAAACCTTACAGAGTAATGCACTTACTCAATTCTCTAGGCGCTGCGAGTGAAGCAAGAAATCGATATCGCTACAGTAGGCTCTCTTTTATAATACAAGAAAAGGAGGGTGCGGGTGTTGTTTAAGGATATAAGAACTAACTTACTATACGAGAAAAGGAGGTGCTTTGTATGAAGGAAAGAAAGTAGTGAGTATTAACGCTTGCTCTTGGAGTGCGGGATATGAGATAAGGATATCATCGTTGTTCAAAGTTAGTAAACAAACGATCAAGCATCTCACGTCTCCAAATAAAATACAAGATAATCTCCTTCCAACAATCTGATGCCCAACCCTTCACTACTCCATGATATCATGCAATATAAAATTCCCAACAACCAAATCTGCCGTAAGAGCAGAACTACCGTAAACGTAGAACTGCCGAAACGTCATTAACACGATACTTACTGCCGCATCAAATCACAATCCCCAATCATTGCAACATCCAGAATTCATGTCATCAAACATCTCAATCGCCGTAGAGGTAGCTATCTCGCCTGCTCAAAACGTTGTTGATGTAGATTCCCAAAGAGGCAGGTAACTTGAAACATGCCGGTTAAACATCTTGAAGATGACTTTGGTACAGATCTCCTTTTAGGGGTCTTCATGCAGACAAAAATGACGGATGGATATCTGTTTCGGCGATACTCAATATACGATATTGATCTGACGGATTGGGAAGAATGAAGATCTAGTCTCTTCCCCTCGTTATTAGCGAGTCTAGATCTTGGCATCAAGCACAGAAGAGACAGAATGTGATGGAGCGACAAAAAAATGAGATATCTCACCGGCTCCATACATTATCAATTGATGTTACAAATCCAGAGATTTCAAATCTGTCAGCTTGCTGAATAAGGCTGGATCCGGAGTAAATTCCGACCAATTCACTTACCCGGCGTAAGCATTTGATGAATACAGCTCTCATTAAAACATAATTTGTCCATAAGCAGCGGAAGATAAAGCCGAAAATGATACCATCCAGAATCCTTGTTCCTGCATATAAATTTGAGAAGAAGGTCGCTGATATGCTGCACAAAAACCCCTCAAAAAGATTCTGGGGAAATCTATGTGAAATGGTAATGTCGCATGCGTCTTGAAGCAATGTAAGGTTGAAGATCATCATGGACAGAACAATAACTCAAAGTAGACACTTAGCTGGAATCTAGATAGGGTAACGAATGTGTCGTACATGACGGGTGGCTGCATATCACGCCTTGGAGTGTATGTGACCTACTGGATATGTTACCAAACAATATATCTGACACTCGAACATTGGACCAAAGAAGATGGTAGCTCCGTGGTTTTGGAGGTGCAAATAACGTTAAAATGGTCGATAAGAGCTGTATATGCAAAGTCCGGAGTTTCCAGGTTGAATGACGACTGTTACTTCTGAAACTGAGGCTGAGTGGTGTTACTTTTGTCCGACTCTTATCTCATCGGACATGAGTCGCATGTGTGGTGGTAGTTGGACCTTCGAGGTGGCTTTGGGAATTTCTGACTTCCGGAACCGGATGTGGATCGATGGTGCCATACTGGATAATTGAATCCTTTCGCGTGTTGGATCCAATCGGCCCAAAAATATCAGTTAGTACCACAGCTCAAAATTGGGATGATACGACGACCTATTTCCGCATTCGGTTTTTTCTGCCAGTGACACACGGAAATGCTCCAACAATGTTGTGCCATCCCCGTTGAAATGCAACGACGTGGAAGTCCCTTGCTTGGCCATGGGGCAGATTACCGTTTGTCAACGTTCCCCTCACGTGTCCCCATCTGTAACCTCCATGACCCCTCCATTACTCGGTAGCTTCTCCCAGCTGGGAAAGCCGCTAGTGTGAAAGGTGACCCAACCACCAATCCCATGGCCAGGAAATGGCGTGTAAACTCCGCTCAGCCGTTAATGGCTGGTGTCATGCGATTCGGGGAGTTGTGCTGCAGATGGGGGAAGCAAGCTGACATAGCTTGATAGATCCTGCCTAACTTGACGAGGCTGATGATGGCATGAGGAGAGTATCTCGTTGGAGGAGATGGAGGAGACTCGAGGCTGTGTGTGCGAAGATTGCTGCAAGGCTATGAAGGGGGGGATTGATCATCAGAAATGGTGCATTTGGACAAGAAAGCATATCAAAAGATTCGTCTCCACCGGTCGCAGAAAGTGGATGTGGTACCGATGCAAGCCGAATGAGGGATGGCGATGGGATGTTCGATGTCCCCCGTTTCTCGAGATATCCAGCCAGTGTAACCGTGTCACATGTCCACTATCTGCCAGCCAACCTGGACAAACCGAGAAGGCAGGTGTTGGTGCTGTCTCTTTGGGTCAAGGTTTTGCCTGCTGGCCGACAACTGTAAGTGTAAGTGTAAGGGAGGAGGAGATCCTCGAAAGTGCGTGCTGATTGGGGGGGGAGATGACCCAGGAAAAAGAAGCATGGGGCATTGGTGAGGGTGCCACCTGCAGAGATGCCTGGCGCCGAGGACCGGTTAACCGAAAAAGGCAATGGTGAAGCTATTCGCAAGTCGTAGATTTCGACATAGACAACCAGCAACGCTACAAATTTTGAACTCAACCCTGGTCGAGATATGAGGTCGTCTGAGTGTGAATCTCGAGAAATTTTATCGAGGCGCCGTGGAACAAAATGGTGGTGAATTTTCGAGGGGATTCTGGATGCCTGGCTCGTGCGGCAAGGAGGGTGGGAAAGGGCGCCGCGGTGCTGATAAGACGCCTGCAGGAAGTGACGAGCTGGCAGTTTCCCATGTTACCGAGAGACAGGGCAAAGCAAAACAGAGGCGGAGGGAACGAGTTGCTGTTTTTGATATGATTCATTCGAAAGAAATCCAGGCGAGAGTTTGAGAGGTGTGCTATCGATGCAGATATCGCTAGTGGTGTTTGTCTATCAGTGGAGGGTCCTAAAGCGGTAAGGTGCGGCGTCGGATGACAATGCAATTGCGTTTTTTGTTCTAGCGATCACAACATCCAAATTCCATCACTCCAGTGACTCCACACTCCACAGGAAAGGGTCTGCTATGACAGCGCTGCCATGGCTGATCATGCCCCTGTGCTATGCGATGCCATCCATGCGATGTGATGCGACGCTTTGTCCTGACCGCTTTCTAATATACGAAGTCAAGTAAGGTTAACTTTTTTATATATGAGCTCGGCTTCCTCTCTCTTCTCGCTTTCATTCTCTCTCAACCCAACTTCCCCAGCTTCTACTTCTTCCCATACTCGACACACTTCACTATTCGAGGCCTCACTCTCGATTGCATAATCTCACAAAGGAATCACACAATCTAATTCTCCCCAAACCACTCTCCTCTGCACTACTTCTTTGTTCTTCTGCCCCTCTGCCCCTCTGCCCCTCTGCCCCTCTGCCCCTCTCCGTCCATTCTACTTTCCCCACATACACCAGATCGGACAGCTTCAACTCTGGTCCGTCCCCACACGCCACCATCTCTTTGATCTGGCACAACACCAATCCAAATCTACCACCACAGCCTCCTGAACAATCTTCATCATGGCGCCAGATATGAACTCCCTTCCCCTCTCTCCACGTACGCGTTTCGCGACTCCCTCTCCTCCATCCGGCATGGTCTCCCCACCAGTCCAATATACCGCCCCTTCAGGCAAACAACCAAATATCCTGTACATCATGGCGGATCAGTTGGCAGCTCCTCTCCTCAAGATGCACAACCTAAAGTCGCAGATCAAGACACCAAATCTAGACGCGTTGGCAGCTGGTGCGGTGGTCTTTGATTCTGCCTATTGTCCCTCACCATTGTGTGCCCCCTCCAGGATGTCTATGGTCTCTGGTCAACTTCCCACCAAGATCGGTTCCTACGACAATGCCTCTTCTATTGATCCAAGTATCCCAACATATGCCCACTACCTCCGTGCCGCTGGCTACGAAACCACATTGGCGGGCAAGATGCACTTTATTGGAGAGCAATTGCATGGTTATGAGAGTCGCTTGACGAGTGACATCTACCCGGGTGATTATGGTTGGGCTGTCAATTGGGAGGATCCAGACCGGAGATTGGAATGGTATCATAATGCTAGCTCCATCTTGCAAGCTGGTCCCTGTGTTCGCAGTAATCAGCTTGATTATGATGAGGAGGTTATGTACAAGTAAGTCCTTCAACATGAGATTTTACCCAAAATGTACTAACCAGTCTAGATCTAAGCAATTCATGTATGACCACGTCCGAAAGGGTGCCAATGCCAGACCATTCTGCATGACTGTCTCTTTGACCCATCCCCACGACCCATACACAATTGAAAAGAAGTTCTGGGACCTCTATGAAGATGTCGACATTGATCTACCAGATGTCAATATCCCACAAGAGGAACTTGATGCTCACAGCCAACGCTTGTTGAAAGTCTGTGATCTTTGGGGCAAGAAGTTTACCACTGATGAGATCAAGAGAGCTAGACGTGCATACTACGGAGCAGTCTCCTATGTTGATGATTGCATTGGACGTTTGCTTCAAACATTGAAGGATTGTCGTCTGGATGAAGATACCATTATCGTTTTCAGCGGTGATCATGGAGATATGCTTGGGGAGCGTGGTTTGTGGTACAAGATGTCTTATTTTGAGGCTTCAGTTCGTGTTCCACTATTGGTTCACCACCCTGCAAGTTTCAAGCCACATTGCGTATCTGCCAATGTTTCCACACTCGATATCCTACCAACCCTTGTTGACCTCGTCCACTCCAAATTATGGGATGGTCTACCAATGGATGGAAGTTCTTTGCTACCCCACCTTCAAGAGGTACCAGGCGGATCTGATACCGTTTTTGCCGAGTATTGCGGCGAAGGAACCATCGCACCAATGATGATGATTCGTCGCGGCGATTGGAAGTATATTACTTGTCCAGCTGATCCTGACCAACTCTACAACCTCGCTACCGATCCCAAAGAACTCATCAATCTCGCCTCTCTAACACCCAAGAACCGACTGTTTACCGAAGAAGTTGCCAACAAATTGGAAGCATTCGTCGCTGAAGCCAAGGCCAAATGGGACATGAAGAAGATTACCAGCGACGTCCTCGTCTCACAACGCCAACGTCGCTTGGTCTGGGCTGCTCTCAAGCAAGGTCATTTCACCAGCTGGGACCACAATCCAATTGACGACGGCCGAGAAAAGTATATCCGCTCTCACATGGCCCTGGATGATTTGGAGTTGAAGGCTCGTTTCCCAGCTGTCGATGCCAAGGGCAGAGACATGTATGCTGGACTTGGTGGTGCGGAAGCTGGCGGCATGGGTGGAACTGTTGTTCAACAGGCCGGTGCTCATGGTCAATGATTTGCTCTTTTTCCGATGAAAATTTTCCAACGACTGATATGAATACCGTTTTCGCCAATACCCTTTGCTTTTTTCCATTTTTTTCTAGCGGTTCATTCACTCGAAGCGAAGCGTGCGCTGCATACCCATACCTACCTCATTGACATTTTCTCGAGGCGGGGTGGGGATCCAAATTGTCTCATAATTTTCGATTCTTTCTTTTCGGGGTTGCTTTGCTTCTTTTTCTCTTCATGTACATTTACATTTTCAGCGAGCTCACGGCGGCATCTTTGGGATTTGAAGTGGGTGGGTGAGCGAGCATCTTGAGCTTTTACGGAGGTGTGATGGAGATAACTCGTGGGGGTTTTGGGGTTTTCTACTGATCTGGTTGTCTGCCTGCCTGGCATATTCCTACACTACACATGCTACTCTTGTATCTAGTCTTCGGCTAACTAGCTATATTAGAGACATGTGGTGGTTTGGGGTGGGTGATGGGAGGTAGATAGATCGGATGTAGTAATTAAACGCTTACTTGCAATTAATATCTCTTGTGTCATAACCGTGATTACCTCCCTCAAACATAGGAAAGGCAGTATATCTTGCCAACCCTTCGCACTGGGTCAAAGTAAGATAAAGATTGAACTCCTATGTATTGGATAATACACCTTTCTAAGGGGGCAGTGGGAGGGAGGGAGGGGGTTATCAGAGGGATAGAAGGTCTCAGTTTTATGATACGTGTAAGAGGACGCTTTATTTCTAAGCGGNATACACCTTTCTAAGGGGGCAGTGGGAGGGAGGGAGGGGGTTATCAGAGGGATAGAAGGTCTCAGTTTTATGATACGTGTAAGAGGACGCTTTATTTCTAAGCGGGAGTGTGGTTTTATGTTAGTTGTTTTATCAGGGGTTGGAGGTATTTAGGTCGAAGGGATATTTATACATATATAGTATTCTTACTTTTTCCTCTACTTAAAATAGTATACTATAGCATAACATACGAAGACCGTATACCCCTAGCTAGGGTATACCTACACGCCCAGCTAAGTTCGATAATACATATACATATATCTAGGCTAGTAGGTTATAGTACCAGATATCAAAACAACACCCTTGTGAGAGGCCAGACCTCGAACAACTCAAAGGTATGGGTTCAATATTCAATTAAGAACTACGTGGTCTGTAAATACATGTTCCTCCTCTACTCTTATACTAAATGTAGCATTTCCATTGCATTCAACACTGTTCCATAGTATTACCAATCTTCTGCGTCATAGCATTCTATCTTATTCCATGGCGTTCCAGAGGCGGGGTCGCTTAGCTTAGCGAGGGCTCTAGGCCCGAGCCCCACTATGGGTTCTAACCCTCACAACCCTCCATTAAAAGATAAATATAAATAGATTACCTAAGTAATATAGTCCTCTACCTCTACCTCTACCTCTACCTCTTTATACTCCATCTTTAGTATATTAGGATGATTGAGTGGCTTATTTATTTACTACTACGCCTGTACGCGCGTGTACCGTACCGTACTAACCCAACTCTCTACTCTCTGTCTTCTAAATCCCGCCGAACAAACAAACTTTCCTCGCTAACCCCGATTTTCACCGATCAGACTGTGAGTGATATTAGGACCCTCTTTGCGCCTCTGCAAAGCTGGAACGTAGGGGATACTAGAATTAACACCCGGCTTGTAACGTACGCACAACTCAAACTCATCCGAAGGGAATAAGGGAATGTGGAGTGTAGATGGGTTAGCTATGTATAGTATTAGGGAAATAATATACCGTATCAATTGGTATATAAGATATTGTTTTTATACAAGATATCCCGCAATATAAGATAAGTATTGGGTTGAAAGGGTATTGGGTACTGAAGGTCATGGAGAATTGGTTGCATTGTAAAAGGTAGCTATCTAAGGTGTTTATATAAAGAGTGTAAGGTTTAGGCAGACATGAAGCATTTAGGCAGCAGAACTATAAGTGGAGCCAAAGAGAAAGTAGACCCAGCACAACAAAAGTGTATTTATATGTGAAAGTATCCCCGGCGATACTGGATTAGCAATTCGAGAACCGCGCACAAACGAGAATAGAGTGACAATATCGGAGCAGAAATGGTCATATGCGGAGTGAAATAGCGCCTTGAAGTGGGGTACTAAGAATGCGATCTGTGCATCAGTTCGGCTCATATGTCTACGGGATGAGTATTCTGTAAGTCTGCTCTTAAGTGAGCGCCAAGCCCTCGAGGAAGCATCTGAAGAGGGGCATTCTAGAATATTAAGACCGCCAAATTGTGTCTGTATCTGTACAAGCTTATCGAGTGCCGCTTCTTTGGCTTTAGTGCTTCTATGCTTACTCATAGATCCGATTTGATGCTTAGATTCCTTCCCAAGCTCCCTTATGAAGCTCCTTGTCGTACGACGCTTATCAAAATTGCCGCGTCCGTCGCTATAGATGAGGATCACGATTTGTAGCTGGGCTTGTAAGGGGAGATCAAGTGAGCGGTTACTAAGGTTTAGAAGCTATAGAGCAAGAATCTTAACTAACGGCTTCAACCCTTCGAAGTCGTCGGCGAAAAAACAAATCAAAGTACTAAAAGGGGAAAGGAGCTTGGTATATAACATGTAGGCCAAGATTATCGGGTCAACCTCGCTAGAGAGTGAGTTCTGCCAAAGGAGAGGCCGCTTAAGAATCTCACCCGTATTTGACTCGGATAAGTGGCTAATTATAGGTGGATTGTGAATCTTGCATTCCGTAAAGAGGATAGGGGATAGCGCTTTTGAAGTATCCTGGTCTGCCCGCAGACGGATACCATAGTCTTCGTGGGACTGTAGAGTACTAAATCGCATTTGGCGAGCCGCCTTATTTTTCTGATAGTGACCTAGCAGTATAATTATCTGAGGGGTCTGTTGATTTGGGAATAGGAAGTCGTGGAAGACGGTATAGGCACGGTAATTCTCTTATAGGAAGATCCCTTAGAGGCTAGCTCGTAGGCTCAACCACGTATTATCGTTGCGTAGCATGAAGAAGATCGGAGAAGATTAAGAAAGGTCTTACGAGAGAGAAGGGATAGAAGAAATAAATGAAATAGTATTGTTAAGAGAATTGAAGAATCTGTAAAGTAGTTCTAGGATAGGACCGGAGAGGAGCACCAATAAATAGGGCCTGTGGTAGACAGAGTAGACAGAATTCCAATATACTAGGAACACAAAGGGCCTTCCCGGGTAGGGTGTAAGCAACTGGGCTGAGTCTTACATACTTAAGGGCGTCACGCCCACATTGTGAATCCTCGATTTGCAAACAATCCACCTGGGATTTTCTAGATCTACCTGTATTGTATACAAGAAGGAAACATTTCAAAGCATAGTTTTAAGATCTTGTCCTCCAGAAGAATTTTCTCCGACTCGCAAGTAGCTCGTAGAGGTGACCTAGGACTATACGGACCTCTCCTTCCTCCCCATCCTTTGTGTTTTTGAGCACAATCGGCAAGTCATAGTCGGTTCATCATTAGCAGATATGTCGCTCGCCGACGTCATAGATTACACCGTTTCATTTAACGAAGGCCATATAGCTAGTGTTCTAACACAAGCGAGTCATTGAGAGATCCTTTGCGTGCCTGTGTCTCGCTAATTGCCTACAGGTTATTCAGGCGCTACTGTTCCTTGAAGAGAGTAGTAAGATGGCTGGCACTCATCTAGTATATAGTAGCCTCACAGCCACAAACGTGCTTGTGTCTCGAAACGGAACGATGCAGCCAGGTACAGGTCAGATCCTCTTCAGAGATACTCGCTCATACTCCTCAGCTACTTTTAGAAAAACGGTACTCCCGCAAAAGCTTGCTCAAGGGAACAGGAATCAAGATCGTCGAGACATTGGAACGCTCACAGTCCACATACTTTCGCGAAGCCCGGACGAACCCAAAAATACGACGCTACAGCAAAAGACGGTCTCTAATACATAGGGTGGGAAGGGGCTGGACGTCAAGTTTGATCCGTCCCCGCGACTGGTGGATTTTCTGGAGCTCTGCGCAGATCCTACAGGCGACCCGATACTTAGAAAGCTACTTCGAGTTAGTATTTGACCTCCTCCTATGCAAGGCACCACAATTAATAATGCTAGCACCCATTCTTGCGCGATTCCAACCCACGCTCCTTAGCTCCTCTGATAGCAAATGCGGAGCGCATAGTATCACGTTATTGTTACTTCAACTAATTTATATAACGGCAATTTTGTTTTCGATTTAATTTATATTAGGTTCTTGATTTCAATAGTCCCTCGCGTTAGTAAAGGAATTTCAAAGCACGTAGTACTTATATAATAAAATCTCAAGCCATATCGCCGATATGTAATTCAAGGATGCCGATTTATCTCAGCACCCAGACCCTCCTTGAGGTTTTTGGTGGCAGGCTCCCCATTGACCACACCCCCGGCCCGCCACTACCTGGTACCCCGACGCCCACCACCTCCAGCCTTTATTTGACCGTTTCGGGGGGTAGGATGTGATTGGCTGGCGGTTGACGGGGTGGGGCGGGGCCGGGTCGGGCTCGGGGGAGCGGGGGAAAACCTGGCCATGTGACCAGCGGCTGAGGGCTGAGATAAGATGCCGATAATTAAAGTGGTAAAACNGGGGCCGGGTCGGGCTCGGGGGAGCGGGGGAAAACCTGGCCATGTGACCAGCGGCTGAGGGCTGAGATAAGATGCCGATAATTAAAGTGGTAAAACATGTGCTATGTAATTGTATTTAGAGTATATACAAAGAAGCAGCCGTGTCTTACGTGCTATCCCTCCTAAAGATTCTAAGCTGAACCTAAGCTTGTGAGATAAGCATTTATTCAAAGCACGATCAGAAGCGACACAGTAAAGTGAATTATTTTCAAATGTTTCGTAGTAATGTCCTCATTTACAGTTATTCTATATCACCTGTGCTTGTTACAAACTTTGCTATAGGAGATATCTTTGTTATTACCGTAAGCATTACGTTAACAATATTATACCCAGATTTGTATGCCTACAATGCTCTAGTAGATAGTGAAGTGTAACGAATACTCAAACTGGCTAACTAAACTTGGCTGGGTGTTCGCTGGTTGGTATGCTATGATAAGAAGAAGAAGTTGAGCACGAAGCTCCTATCTAATGGCAGAAGTGCCAGTCTTATATAGAACCTTCGTTCTACTGGATCCCTTCTGGATCAGTGGATCCCTTTGGATCCCTCCTGGATCCATCGGGGTCCATCACGTGACAACAACCAAATGAAATCCATGCATCGCTTAGCTGGCCTAAGCAATCCCTATTTGCTATAAGAAACCTGGATGTGCCTGTCGAGGGTTGCGCCTCTTTATTATGACAAGTATCACGTGAGCATGTGATTCGTGACACGCCGCTTATGCTTGTACCCTAACGGAAGAGGTAATTTAATAGGCGTAGACGTATAGACATAGTAGCAAATAATAATTTGAACGTATTATTTACTATAAGCGAGAATTGTTCGTGAAACTTTAATAATAATAAGACAAACTAATAGACGGTCTATTCCTTCTGTGACGG